ACCCTAATGTAGATAAGTAAAACATTAATAAAAAATTTAAGAACAAAATAAGTGAGCATTATACCAATTTTTTTGTAAGTTCTACCGTATGGCTTGAATATGGACATAACGCTACCGATAGCGCCGATGGACAACGCTACTGAAATTCAAATGTATTATGAATAGCAACTAAAGTTAAGTAGTATAATTAAAATTTAAATACAAAATACAGGAAAAAATCAAATTAGCTGATCTCCTGCTGCTTCTTCTTCTTATTTGGCGCTGTAACCGCCTAAGCGATTTTGGCCGAGTTCAGCAAAGCACGTCAGTCGTTTCTCTTCTGTGCCAACTGACGCCAATTGGAAACGCCAAGTAAAGCCAAGTCCTTCTCCACCAGCGGGTTCCGAGTTGAATACTTTCAGAGCTGGAGCGTCGGTGTCCATTCGAAAGACATGGCCAAGCCAGCGGAGCCGCTATATTTTAATTCGCTGCATTATGTCCATGTCGTTGTAAAGCTCATACAGCTCATCGTTCCATCGTCTGCGATACTCGCCGTCCCCAACGCGTAAAGGCCCGTAAATCTTCCGCAAAATCTTTCCCTCGAACACTCCAAGAGGCCTCTCATCGGATGTTGTCATTGTCCATGCTTCTGCGCCATATACAGTATATTTTGCTTAGCTGCACATCCCTCTTTGCACGAAAAACTTGTGCACCTAACCGAAAAAGGCACTTTAGCGAATTTTCTTTACTACTTCAATGAGGAAGGTATCCGAATCCCTATGAAACCAAATAATGGAGAAGCACTTATCACGAAGAAAATAATGCAAGCGAAATTTTTTTTCGAATGGTATCTTATTATCTATATAACTAGAAAAATTGATAGCCATTTCCGTTGTTCTGCGATATGAGTAAAATAAATAAAAGCTTGTAAAATTAGATAATTGTAGGCCAGTGCAGGTAAACGTAATACTTTCTTTGATAATTGATACTAGTTGCAAAATTTTTAAGGCAGCTATCGCCAATGTGTAGGTATGTTGAATGCATTTATCGGAGCAGTTTCCTTATAAATGTTAAAAATAATGGCTCAGATGCGCATTTTGGGGTAGGTATCTTAAATGTGCACTTAAGCATAAAGGCAGCAAAGCAAAATATACTGTACCAGCATGGGCATGATGAGTGACTTATAGAGCGTGGTTTTCGTACGTCGAGAGAGGACTCTACTCCTGAATTGCCTACTCAGTCCAAAGTAGCACTTGTTGGCAAGAATGATCCTCGTTGAATTTCCATACTGGCATTATTATCGGTGTTAATGCTGGTTCCCAAGTAAACAAAATTCTCTACTTTCTCGAAATTGTAACTGTCAACATTGACGTGGGTGCCAAGGCGCGAATGTGCTGACTGTTTGTTTGATCACAGAAGATACTTCGTCTTGTCCTCGTTTACCACCAGACCCATTCGCTTTGCTTCTTTATCTAACTTGGAAAAGGCAGAACAGACTTCGCGGTTTTTGATACCGATGATATCGATGTCATCGGCATAAGCCAGCAATTGCACGCTCTTGTAGTAAATTGTTCCTGAGCGGTTCAGTTCTGCAGCTCTTATTATCTTCTCCAACATCAGATTAAAGAAGTCGCATGAAAGGGAGTCGCACTGTCTGAAACCCCGTTTGGTTGCGAACGGCTCGGAGCGGTCTTTCCCAATTCTGACGGAGCTGGTGGTATTGCTCAACGTCATTTTACACAGCCGAACGAGTTTTGAGGGGATGCCAAATTCATACATAGCGGCGTATAGGCAACTCCTTTTAGTGCTGTCAAAAGCGGCTTTAAAAGCGGCAACTAGGTGGTGAGTGTCGATCCTTTTCTCGCGGGTCTTTTCCAAGATTTGGCGTATTGTGAATACCTGGTGTATGGTGGATTTTCCAGGGCCCTTACTCTGTAATGCGATTCGAATGAAATTTGCTTCGCATTCGCATAAAAGGTACCCTGTAATACGACATTTGCGCAGAAATTTTCGAACTACGCCTTTCATTTATCCCTTTCGCATCACATTTTTCCCCTTCGCCTTCGCAGCACTCTGTTTTTCGAATATAGCTGTCAAATGGCTGTGACATTCGCATTTTTCTTGCTACAATTCAAAGGCATACGCAACAAATAGAAATCTAAGTTAAATGAAATATACAAACTGAAATTGCATATATTTACATACATTTAAAAAAAATATATAGGGAAACTACTAAAGGTAAAGAGACGGATCAAAAGCAGTTTGAAATTTTAGTGGATTTCATGGAAATCCACCCGGATTTGTCTAAGGGTTTATTGAAGACGCCGGATGCTAAAACCGTTTCCATAAACCTTTGGAAGAAATTGGCTTGCGACCTAAATGCATCTGGCACACCGATGCGTGAAGTTGCTGGTTGGAAGAAAGTAAGTAGTAACTTTAGTTGTTTTTGGCAATATACAATAACCTAAAATTTTAGTTTTGGGCTGATTACAAGACGCATTTGAAAGCAAAAATGCGTCGCAATAAACACAGCATTTCCGGAACTGGTGGTGGTCCATCCAATTACTGCTCACTTACGCAACTGGAACAGAAAGTCAGTGAACTATTATCTATGTGGGAATCAATGAGTGGTACGGTAGGCACATTAGAGTTTGGTGCAGCACAAAGAGCATCGAAAACGACATTAAAGTAATATTAAATAACATTTTAAAAAATATGAAAAAAGGAAGGAAAATAGAAAAACAGAAACTTAAAACTGCAAGAGAAAAATTTCTCCACAAACAAAAAATTTACCGTGAAAATTTAAAATTAAGATTAAGTAAGTTATAACTGCAAAAAGAAATGTTAAATTTAGAAATAGAAACAAATAGCCTCATTCATAAAAGATGATATGGATTAGAGATGGGCAAAAGTCGTGCTTTTCTACGTGACACGTCGTGTCACGCCTTTTCACGCGTGAGCGTGAGCGGCTTTCAGTGAAAAATCACGTAATATCCGTGATCGTGCGTGCCTGAAATTTTCGCGTGCGTGAGTTAGATTTTCGTCAATCACGTCATTTTCACATATGCATGTATGTACTTATTTGTATTTTAATCTAAAATAAATTCGTAAACTTACTGTTTAACTTTCACTTTGACATTGGAGGCATTCTGTAATATTAAGTTAAGTGAATTGATAGACGCTTCAAAAAAGCTTGTAGGCTATTTTAAATATACCGAACTCAATAAGAAACTATCAAAGTCTTTAAAGCAACATGTTAAGACACGGTGGAACTCGTTATTTATAATGCTGTCAAGCATTCACGAAAGGCGACAAGAAGTTCAACAATTATTAATAGAAAGAAATTAGCTTCATAAACTATCTAAAATAAATGCAAATTTGTTGGAAAAATTGTTAGAATTTCTGGCCCCTTTCAAGATGTGTTCTGAAAATTAGAGCGCCATCCATGAGTATGTTCTGTGGTACAAAATACTACAAAAGCAGTGTAAAGTGAATGCACCTGATTCTGAAGTCATCATCGATTTGAAGAAAAACACAGCTGTTGCTTTAAATAAAAGATTCCAACCATGGATGGTTTTTAAATCCTCTGTTTAAAAAGTTACAGTTTATATCTGCAGAACAGCGCGAACATATAATAGGGACAGTAAAAGCAATGCTTGAAGATAACTTAGGTAGACATGCACTTGAAGAAAAGAGCGCTCGCCCTCAGCACGATTACCGAATTCTGGATGATGATGTTCCTTCTACCTCGAAAAGGGCAAAAACCCGTGCAACTTTTGACGAATTCAAAGATGCGCAAACGAATCTGCAGAAACAGTTTTTGAAGAAATTAATACGGAAATACAGATTTATTTGAAAAAAAATCGGAAAACAAAAGTTGTGACGATGTTTTAAAATTTTGGGAGAAAGCTAAAGATTTGCCCCTTCTTAGAAGTCTTTCCAGGCAAATTTTTAAACATACCAGCTAGCTCAGCTATTAGTGAAAGAGTTTTTTCTGTGTCAGGCAGAATTCTGGAAGAAAGATGTACACGACTGCTTGGTGAAAACCTCGACAAAATTTTATTTTTAAACAAAAATATGACCTAATGTCATTTTAATATTACATACGTTGAATAAATATTAATACCAATTCTTTTTTATACTCGTAATAGATACATAGGTATGTAAATCTGAAATTTGTTAAAATAATAGATAATAGTGCCTTCAGCCATTGCTAGGCGTTTGGCCAAGCGGTAACGTGAGCCAAAATTACTCACGTGCCCATCTCTAATATGGATATACAGTGGCGAAAATATAAATAATAATAATAATAGATTGGCGCTTACACATATGTTAGTGTTTGGCCGAGCTTCTCCTCCGACTTGTGGCGTGCGCCTTGATGTAGTCACACAAAGCGGAGGGACCTACAGTTTTACGCCGACCCCGAACGGCGATTGTATTTTTATGAGAAGCTGTTTTTCATGGCAGAAATACACTCGGTTTGCCATTGTCTGCCGAGGGACGACCGCTGTTAAGAAAAAACCTTTTTCTATATTTTTTTGTGATGTTGCTTTGACCAGGGCTTGAACCCAGGTGCAGATGAGTGAAAGCGCGCACTGGTTACCACTACACCCCAGCGGCCGACAATATAAATAGGGAAGAGAAATTTTAGCATTCTTCGGCTATTTCCCTTTCGTTTATTTAATGTTTATTTTTTTGGGAAAGCGTAACTCGTTTTCTAACAAAAACCATCTAAATCAAAGCTTCGTCAAAATGTTGAGCTTTTTAATTAGATTTCAACATGTTTTTTTTAGATAGTAAGCTATAGCCAAAACTTGCTAAAATGTCTCTTCCCTATTTACATTGTAAATATACATAAATTCATATCATAAATATCAAGGCTAGTCAAGCATGATGTGATGAACTAGTCATAATTTTTATTGTAAACACAGAAGTTTATTTCTTTGTTTTGACTGTATTTAGGTGCTTTTTATTTTAATTATTTTATAAAAATATAAGAAACCTTAATAATCCATGTGTTGTGCTCCTATGTAACGAAAGACTGAAGTTCTCTTAATTTAATAAATTATTTATTGCAAAATCATGTTTACTTATTATATGGAATTTCGAGTAGCTACCAAATTGCTTTTTATTTCTTCTCTTAATCTTCTAGCAATGTTGAGAAAATTTATTTCTTCTGTATTATCAGCATTAACGGTTACAGTTTCGTCTGGCTCAGTTCTAATATCTGTAGGTTGCTTCGTTCAGTATTTTAACAACTTTTTCTGGAGCATAATGAAGCTCCCGTGCAGCTCAAAGGCATCTAAATCGGCCTTTTAACACGCCAAATACTCGTTCTACTATTGATCTTCCTTTCGATTAACTTTGATTAAAAAACAGCTCGTCAGAATTTTCCGCAGTATTTCTATACGGAGTTAGTAGCCATGGTTCCAGCGGATATCCAGAGTCACCAATGGTAGTGTGGAAGAGCAATTGTCAATAAAAGATTTCGTGAATGGATGTAGCGCATATAAAAGGAACCTACCAAGGATTCGCACACCTTTATCGCCATTCTCATAATTTGATTTTAAATAATCCCGCTCGCTTGACAAGTTCCACACATGGGAATCATGTGACGCACCTCCAAATCTTCCGTTGACAGCCCTAATACGCATTCGGTGATCACATACCTAAAATATAAAGATACATACATACTAGAGTGGTTCAAAAAAATTTTTTTTTGGAAATTCATAAACGCTACCTCAAATTATTGTTATTTGTGATAAAAAAAGAGAAACGTGTTTTTTTATTTTGAAAAAAAAAGTTTTCTTAGAGGTCGCGCCGGTCGGTTTTTTATAAAAACGCTGATGTTCTCAATTTTTTTTATTTTCTTGACATGTTAAAATGCAGCTAAAATTTTGTTTTTTACATATAATTACTCTGGTATTATTGGGGAACATTCCCTTAATTACATACCTGTCTTGGGCAGTTGGAATGGGCCTAGTGCCCGAAAATATGCTCTCGAAAAGAGACTAGTAAAATTAAAACGTTGA